TGAGGGAGCTGGGATTGTTCAGTCTGGAGAAGAGGAGGCTCAGGGGAGACCTTGTTGCTCTCTATAACTACCTGAAGGGAGGTTGTAGCGAGCTGGGGGTCGGCCTCTTCTCTCGTGTAACTGGTGATAGGACTAGAGGGAATGGTTTCAAGCTTCGCCAGGGAAGATTCAGGCTGGATATTAGGAAATACTACTTCTCTGAAAGGGTGGTCAGGCACTGGAATGGGCTGCCCAGGGAGGTGGTGGAGTCACCGACCCTGGAGGTGTTCAAAGAACGTTTGGATGTTGTGTTGAGGGATATGGTTTAATGAGAACCATTGGTGACAGGTGGATGGTTGGACTGGATGATCTTATAGGTCGTTTCCAACCTTAGTGATTCTGTGATTCTGTGATTCTGTGATTCTGTGTAGGGATGGGGTCGGGAAGGCCAAGGCTCAACTTGAACTGAATGTGGCTCAGGATGCCACAAAGAACAAGAAAACCTTCTACAAGTACCTCAACCAGAAGAGGAAAGTCCAGGAGGGCATATCCTCTCTAGTAAGCAACAGAGGCAGGCTGGTGGCAACAAACAAGGAGAAGGAGGCTGAGGTATTTAAACACTTTTTTGCCTCAGTCTTCCCTGATAACTGCTCACCATGATGTGGCTGATATTACTTTTAATAATGTATCAATGAAGAGCTCATCTGTTAGTAGGAGTGTGTGAATTTGTGTTCTTGTAGCAATGAAATAAATATAATGTAAAAGCTGTTAAAACAGATATTTATCAAGATGTTTTTACATTAAAAAAAAGAAACTTCTTATATCCTCACGCAAGTTAAAACATAAATTATAATAAATGCTGTTTCCATAACTTCATTAATGTCAGTGATGTTGTACTAGAATAGTTCAGGTTTAAATTATTCTCTCCTGATTTCATATATGAAAATTATCCTAGTAAATTCCTGATGCCAAACCAGTAAAACTTTACAACTCTGTACATAGTTGATATACTTTCAATGATATGAATTCAGAAAATTAGATTGTCAACAAGCTTCATTTCAATTAATTTGTCAGAGTATGACCTGGGGTAGAATGGTCTTCTATTGTATATTTAAATGTTTAATTTTTCAGAAGGAACAGACTGTAAAATAGCCTGTAGCCTCAGTAATTAAGCAGCATTCATTTCTATTGAAACAAACTTGGGAGTGTGGTACTGTGATATATTCTTTTATTCTGTATCAGCCATATTTGCTTTTTTTTTTTTTTATAGTTTTACTGTATACGTTTTTTAGTTTTTTTGTAATCTTTGCTAAAAAGTGTCCACATTGACATATTTTTGTGCATCTGGCCTTTTCCTTTTGAGCAAAATGATTTGAAAGTCAGAAAACCAGTTTGATTTGTAAACAGAAAATGTCAGTCATTGTTTGTTTGTTTTTACTTTGTATAGCTTTTTAAAAAACAATTTTAGATTTTTTTCCCTGAAAGATGATTACACTTATATTACTTATACTAATTTTGGCACTACGTAGTTTGTCCTTTTTGATGTTACTATAATTTTTTTTCAAAAATTTTAACTATTTTTGAAGAAACTGTTACTGCTTCGGTTTACACTGAAGACTGGATTTTCCTTATTGGTTCTTTTAAAAATAATGAACATATAAATGTATTTTTATTTTTTATTTTTATTAGTGATGATAACTGCAATGAAGAACTATAATGAATTTCAGATTCATTAAAAGTAGTTTAAGTATATCAGGATTCAGGAGACCTTAATTATCCTGGAAATCACTGCAAAATATACAGTATTTAAATATTGTTACACAGTGTTTTTTGCACATCTGGCTTCTACTGGCCTATCTGAAACTGTTCTCATGACTGCGATTCATCAGTTGTTGGTCACCACCAGAGTCTTGTAAACTTTTGCAAAGTGGTAATCATGACAGTGAAATCTATACAATCTATAGAATGTTCATCTATACAGTCATCACCTACTGTGCACAGTCAGTAAAACTTTATGAGCTAGAGGTTGAGCTGTAGTTATGTGTTGCTGTATTCCCTACACTTTTTGTCATAGGTCAGAGATCTTATATTATTAACACTATAAATGAAGACATAAGATATGGTGCTAAACTACTAAATTCTAAACTACTTCTTTAAAATTTTCTCTCTGTTGTGAGGTCACAAAAAAAATCATGTTACCTCTAGGATATTCTGTTGTCTGTACATGACAACCTGTGTTTCTGCCTATTATGGGTCTGCATGTGATTATTATTATGACTAACCCCAACACCTACTTTTTTTTTCAAGCTGATAGGCAGAGATAGGCATTGGCTTGGCTGACTGTCCACATGTCAATGGCAAGATTTATGACTCTCCTGTCTGCTTATCTGAGAACATGCAATGCATTCCTCAGTTTGATTACTAATAAGGTTATCCTGAATACAAGGTCCATTGGAAAGGGAGGAAAAAGCTTTCTTGGGAGGGGACAGCATGACTCAGTACACTATAACTGATTTGAGAAACAAGTTCTCTTCTACAAGAAAGTATAACTGAAGTACAAAAAGTGCAAAGACAATCCTTTATATTCATTTGCTTTTTTTTTTTTTTTTTTTAAATCTAGTGTTATTTCTGATTTATTTTCCAGTGTTAAGCCAGTAGATGTATTTTATATACAATATATACCTGTTTTATTGAGAGTTGGGATAGTTGGACTTGATCTTTAAGGTTCTTTCCATCTTAAATGATTCTATGATTCCAGTGTAAAAATTACAGAGAGAAGAAAGGTACATTGTATTGCATATTTCTCTTTGTAAATCCTTTGTTGCTTAGGATATCATACATTTTACTGTGTGATATTACTTATTCAAAAATTTTTGAATAAATGCTTTCCACATGTCTCTAGGAAAATCTATAAAATCTGTCTTAATTCTGATTATATTTATGATAACATTTGTAATATTTCTTGTGTCTTAATATCTATGTTTAGCACACATTCACTATTTTTTAACTTTCTGCAACATTTTTTTTAAATTTTAACATAGGATCTTCCTATATATCATAGGTTGATTTATAATATTTAGGCACTATAAGCCTTAAACAGCACAATATCTCGTCTATGAGATTGCACTCTCCTGAATAGTTTAATAAATTCAAAAAACAGGAGATTGCCTCTCATGTTAATGTTACATTATTGTTTAAACAAATATGGTTAATTTTTCAGTTTTAAAATGTACTAAGTCCATATTTGCCTTTTCTTTTTAGCTTCAAATTACTGTTAATATTGGCTACCTATTATATATATTGTTATATATCAAAGAATGATTCACTTGATTAAACATATCTGGATTATTGTCAAATGTTTGCCTCTCCTATAAATGCTAGTTTTAAAATAGTTATTTAACAAGTCTCATTTCAGTGGTTAATACTTGTCAAGCATCTGTCCCTGGGGCACTCACCAGGAATTTAAGGGCTCACGTGCTGGGAGAGAAAAAAAAAAAAAAAGAAATTAACACCTGTTCTCCATATTCTGTTGAGAAACAGGCTGGAAGAATCAAAAGGTTTGCAAATCTGGAAGGCCATTTTGTGTTTAATAATACATGAGAGGGAAGGAGTTAATAACTTAATACACATTATTTCTGCTTTAGAAATGATTTGTCTAGTTGGATGCTCAACAAGACCTTTTCCAAATTTAGGTTGTTTGCAAAGTTTGGTTTTAGTTTCTATGCACTTTGATACTGAGAGTTCCTTTCTGAGAAACCAGGGTAAGATTTTTTTAGATAATACAAAGCCAGGTAGCAAAGTTACTTTCAAAATGAATGCATACGCATTAGGAGAAAATGAATGAAAAACATTTCTTGCAGTGATGTAATACCTGTCTTGTCCTAGTTACTATTATTCACAGATACTGTAAACATAAAAACAGAAAGGGAGGTGGTGATGGTCAGTGATGCTGACCGTATTTTTTTTTTTTTTTTGGCATTCTATGCCTTGGGAAGAACATACTTTCAGATTACTTTTATTGACACCATTTTCTTGGTCTTTCCAGAACAAAGAATAAATTGTTATTGCAACGTATATGTTAATTTATATTTCATGGGCAGTGATATCTTATTACAAGATGAGAAGGACTGACGTACAATCTTGTTTGGTTCATACAAGATTAAGACAGTTCTAGAAATTGCCTGTCTTTTTAGGTGTGTCCTACTCTGACAGTCCATCTGGGGATGCTTTCAACATGTGATTGAGCTTTATGCAGATGGCAGTTGAATCCTCTATTTGTTGAAATTAAGATTAGCATGTACATTGAGCTCAGTGCAGATGAGTACAATTTGAACCTCTGCTCAACATGTGTATTTGTTCAGGTAGTGATAGTCATTTAGTCATGCTAAAATGTGTATAAATCTTTTTGACACAATCTGAGGTGTCCTGCTAATATTCTTCTTTGTGAATTGCATTTCCAATGAACTTCCTATTTCACGATACTATATAATGCATAGACCAGTAGAAACAAGACTCCAGAAATCTTGCATTCCATGTACCTATGTTCTAGAAGTTGTGAGTGCAGTTTTTCAGGTTTAAGTGTGTAAAATAATAATTGCATGTTCTTCATTCCTACACTTTTTTACTGCAAACTAATGTGATTATTTTTATATTGTCATAGTGTTTTTATTTGTGCTAGAAAAGAGAGTATCTTTAAAATAAAAACAACAAAAGCCATACAAAATACCCAAACAACAACAACAACAAAAGAAACACTCAACATATTTTCTTTAAGGTAAGTTTGATTAATATATAGAGCTGTTGGGTTATAGTTTGGCCCAAATATCACTGAAATCATGGGATATTTTACACTAATTGCACTATGTCAGATTTATTAGGTTAAGAATATTATATATCCTATATATAGGCTGCAGGAATTTTTTTCCAAAATGATAATAAAATTGTTCTTTTATGCCATTTTGGCTTACTAGTATTTTTTGTTTTTTCTTTCTTTCTTTTTTCTTTCTCTTCCTCACTACCAGGAGGTATTTTTGAGTGTGTGGAATCTGGTCCAATGGGAGCAGAAGAATTAGCCTTCAGATTTGCTGTGAACACAATCAACAGAAACAGAACTCTTCTGCCAAACACTACATTAACATATGACACCCAAAAGATAAATCTCTATGACAGTTTTGAAGCATCCAAAAAAGGTAACCTTTTGTGTATTTAATTTCTTTAATTAGCAACTAAAACTCACGTGCTTTACCTACCTGAAAAAAGTCTGTCTATAAAGATATGCAGTATCGTTGTACAAGGCTGTAGCTGACATTAGAGATGTGTTTTAAATATTGTCCCTTGAAAGCTGTTAATGGTAACTGCTCAAAAATTACATTGTGTCAACTATATTCCCACTACCTTGCCCAAAAACTATTTCTAGTTTTCTAAACATTTGAAATCTGAATTTTTTTTTCTTGAGTTTTGTGATTAGGGTGTTTTTGAGATTAGATCTTCTGATGTCAGAGAACACTTCCCCTCTTTTTTTCCTGGAAAATGCCAACTGCTCCCATCTTGCAATGATCTCGGAAAAGGCTAAGAGTTCGGTGGTGTAGTCAAGTCTGTATGCCCTCAGACATGTTTCCAACGTTACTGGAGGAAAGCCTACAAAATCCTCTCATTCATTAAGGCTGTTCAAAATCTGAATGTGATTTTTTTATGGCTTCATGGCTAAAATCTCATTCTCAGATATTTACCAAGGTTCCAATTCAATTTTAGGTATTCTATCAATTTAAGTGCATCTTCACAAATATCTTTAGCATATGCATGACTGACATATTTTATCTGGCATGTGTTGTGAAAGAGAGCAAGTAGTTGTAGTGAGCAAAGTATAAAAATAAGCTTGAAAATTAAGTCTTTGCTTAAGAATATTGTGACCAGATAAATGTAAAAGCATCAGTTCAGATGATTTTCTTCAAGATTATAAAATATTATGAACACTTTTTCCTAAATTTTCAGATCTTTGATTCTCACAAAAAATTAAAGTTATGAGCTATTGCTTTACATTCTGGTTTACAACACTGTGATGCCACATGGGAGTTATACTGCATCACTGCCTTATTGTAGGAAAATGAAAACTCAGTAAGTCCTATATGTCCTTTTTTGATTGAAAACCCAAAACTTTGTGACAGAACTTAGATTAAATTTTGCATGGTATTACACATTATTTGATGGTAGATTTTTTTATAAATTGAAAAGCAAATTTCATATGAATGTTTATACAATTGATTCATATGAATCCTTAAGAAGAAAAGATAAACCTGTATTTATTATGAGAGATTTGGACCTTAAATCTTCAGAGAGATCTGGTCCTCAACATGTCACTCCAACTGAAAAACCTACATAAGAAGAGATTTTTTTTGCTAAGTAAAATGGAAACTTCTGATGCTACATTAGAAATGCTAGCTAGGGAAAAGCTGCTATGTCAGTATGGATGTATACAAAGTACATCTTTATAATGGAATACAATATTGATTAAAAATCAATTTAGAAATGATAAATATTTTTGTTTTTTCTTTTCAACATGTCTTAGCAAGTTTATCTTGCTAATCTGTTTATTTCTCAAATTAACCATTTTAGTATAAAGCTATTGATGCTAGGTATGAGAATAGACAGTATATCTGTATGGAAATAAGCATTTTAATTGTTCTGAGATGCTTTGATACATGAAAAATATTATAGACTAAATATTTATGCCTAGCAAAATGACTTATTTGCAGCAGAGAGTGAGAAAGGAAGTATGCTATTTCTTTAATGAAGGTTTTTTGAATAGTTATTATGATGAGATAAAGAATGTTCTGAGAGGCTACTCTTTCCATCTCAGCCAATAGTAAATGAATCCTTAATTCTGGCCGCATCTTTCTCTGTTTTTCCTCATCTTCCATCTTTAACTACTTCCTGATTCTAATGCATTCTGCCTTGTAAAATTTAATTGAATAGTTTGTCCTCATTCCTCATGGAAGTAATAAAAAGTGAAGAAATCCAGTCTGAATTTTTAATTTTTTAACTATCTTCTGAGTTGACAGCTCTACTTCTAGACCTTACTTAGGAGTTGCTTGGAGATTGCAAGCTAGCCTTATTATTGCTAATTCTTGATAGACTGGATATATTTATTGTTCCTGTTTGCATCTTGCATGAGAATGCAAATTTTTTTTAACTAGTCAGGCTGTATCAAAATCTGTGTAATTTTTCAGTACTCACAGCTTTTTGCTTCAGAAATTCACAGTACAGCCAACCATATTGATGCTGAGGGGTACTTCAGTCCAGAATCAAAGGCTAAAGGTTAGCCTAAAAAGGGTTCATTTTATTATGATGACTCCAAAGCAAAGTTTTAACAGTGAGATTGAAACATTTAACTCATTCTGTGGTTCATGATTATGTCCATTAGTGACCAGGGAGGTGCTGCATCAAAAAATAGCCTGTTTAGACCTCTTACTAACAAATACTTTTTAAGTTGAATACAGATTAAATATGAATGGGATTTTAAAGTTATTGTATGAAAGAGCAACCTGAAGGCAAGATGATATTTCCAAGATACTGTTTTAGTGAAGAGTAATGTAAGTGCAAACAAAACATCCTTCAGTGCACTGCAAAAATTGGTATGCATCTGATAGAGTTGTATTAAATCACATGTGAAAGCATTGCATTATTCAAATCACAGAAACAGAAAAAAAAAAAAAAAAAAAAAAGCCCATTGAAAAGCCATCTGGTAGCTATTGCTGTTGTTAGTGATCCCATTTACTGACATTTGCATAAAGCTTGTTGATTACTCTTAGGAAGGGCAATATTAGCATAAATGTTTTTTTATCAGGCTAGTCATTTAGGCCTTAATCCGATGCTTAGTAATGCAGTGGAGATCTTGTGTGTATACGAGAAGTTCATTTAAACCACTGATGTTCTGCAAGAATAAAAAGGTGTGCCAGCACGATTTCTGGAATACTTGTAGTATTTTTAATCATGCTGAAAAGGACAGACATGGCACAATTTAAAAAATTAATTTCAACTTATTGAGGAAAAATAATGCAGTAAAATGTGTTTCTACTGCTTGTTTCCGCAGTTGCGAGGGACAACAGTGGTGGTGTAAAAATACTAAGTAATCTAATCTCATAGGATATATTCATATTGGATTATGGAGATACTTTCTCTTACTTCTCTCTACCAAATAAGATGTTTCCTTAGAAAGACAAAATGTGTTGAGTTTCAGAACCACGTGCTCATAAAAGTTATGTCTATAGCAGTGATCTAAACAGGAGCAGGGCATGGACTGAGAAACTAGTCTCCAATATTGCTTAATTTTTCTGGCTGCTTTCTGCAACGTACCAACTGATCTTCTGCAAGATAATGCTGGAGCATACTGTAGGAAATAAAATAGACAAGATACTACTGAAGCATGGAATAGATGGGGCCATTCTATATTGAAAAGAGGAACTCTAAGCTACTTTCACATGGCAATATCATGTCAGTGACTCTCAGGGACAGTTTTATTTACTAATGTAGCTGTAGCAAAACAGTGTATTTCCAGAATTTAAAAATGAACCCAGATTTTTTTTCATTAGCATATAGAGATTTAATTATTATTATTTTTTGGGGGGGAAAACATTTGCTGTTAAATTTTTCAAGTCAGCTTCTATATTTTCCAGGCATAGAATTGTCAATTTAAATGAAATTTGTCATTTGCTTTATACTTAAATGGAATCCACTTGACATGCACATTTTCTGAGTAACTAGGATCTCAGTAGGAATAGTGTTGATGGATTGAGGAAGAAGTTAATGTTTAAACCGCCTCGATTAGAATACTGTCCCATATGGCCCTTTTCCAAATGTAATATGCAAATGAACATTAATCTCTTCTCTTGTCAGTGTTTTTCAAATTATACACAATTGCTGGCCTTTGTGACTTCCACTGACATAGAAGTGTTTATTAAATGTAGCTAAGCACTGTTTAGAAGTTAAGTGTTGCTATTCATCAGCTCACAGTGAAAACTTAGAAATGTATTCAGAAGTTGGAAATCTGTGTGTTATAGAAGAAAGGAGCTTTTTCAGCAGTAAAGTTATATTTCATGGAGAACCTTTTATTTAATATGAATTGTGCAATACCTTCTGGCACACTGCCTTCTTTCCTCTCATCATTGACAGACTTCTGTCTTCTCTTCAGCCTGCGATCAGCTATCTCTTGGGGTAGCTGCCATCTTTGGACCATCCCATAGCTCCTCAGCTAATGCTGTACAATCAATCTGCAACGCTTTGGGTGTTCCACATATCCAGACCCGCTGGAAACATCAGGTGTCGGACAACAAGGACTCCTTCTATGTCAGCCTCTATCCAGACTTCTCTTCACTCAGTCGTGCCATCCTTGACCTTGTGCAGTTCTTCAAGTGGAAAACAGTTACTGTTGTTTATGATGACAGCACTGGTAAGACTAAATCATGCAACTATGTGCAGATGTGATTCTATGAATATATATTCACGCATACAAGAAGAAGGATGAGGGGTGTCAATACTGTTACAGCTTTATTTTAAGAAAGCTTAATTACAATAAATTCCATTGGCAAGGTAGAGTGTAACAAATAATGCAGATTTGTTAGCATAAGTATTCTCATAATTATCCTTCAGTTGCTGAATTTTGTGTGTTTGAGATTGCAACTGTCAATAAATCAGTCATGCTCTAACTGCATTTTCCTCAGTATCTTCACGGTTGCTAACAGTATGTCTTCTAATTTTATTTAAAACTCAGTTTCTGAAGAAAAAAATGATAACTTGAAAGATGTATTGGACTGACTGGTCAAATAGGACAGCTACATTTTAGTGCTGCTCTTGACATATTAGCCAATATTAGAAAATAGTTGCCATATTGTTTGGAATTTCAGTAACTGCATTTTCAGAGAGTCACAGAAGGAGCCCTGCTTTTGGCTCCTAAGAGTTGGAAGCAGAGGAAATGTGGAGGCTTGTTTTGCAGATGATTCACATCATTTAAAAATGAACTCCTGAATTTCCATCAGAAATACCCCAATTTGATACCATTCCTTTAACTTCACTCTAAAACTTCTGTTTTGCCCTGGCTTTGGTATTTGGTTTGAAATTTCAAAAAACTTGTCTGATTTGAGGCTTCTCTGCTGGAGGTTAGAACTATCAGCTGGTAAGAGGAAAATCTGTCTGTAATGGCGGATGCAGGGAAGTCATTTAGCCAGATGAGAGATTTAATATTATGGAAATGTTAACAATTTCTTCCATGGTTTTTGAACTGACACTGACAAACCCTTCTCATAGTTCTGTGAAAAAGAAGGTAGTTGATGATGATGATGATTCAACAGCTAGTAAATGGTGAGGAGGAAACAGAGATGGAAAACAAGAACACAGTGAAATTGTTTTCCAATTCTCCAGTGAATTTAATTTCAGTGAAATTCAGAGGCTGTCTTTCTAGAAGTTTGGCTGATGCTACCAAAGACATAATCAAACTTCTGGTTTCAAGTTTAGCATTACGGGCTTACAGGAAAAAATAATCTACTTCATTTTTAATTTTTAATTTTATTTTTTTAACTCTTGCTTTGAAATAGGACTGGAGGTAAAAAGGAATATTCAAATCTTAATCAAGTGAATACTGGAAAAGTAATCTGTGGTTTAGTTAAATGGTTATAAATTTTTATTTACATAAATTTGAAATATTTTCAATTTAAATCATTCAAAGACTAATTTTGAAGGAGACCTGAATCCGATGTTCAGGATCCTATAATGTAGAAAACAGGATAACTTGGCACAGGAAAGAATGGAGGTCGTGTCCTTTTGAAACTGGGAACAGAGATGCTTCTGAAGCAATATAATCAGTAACATTAGAGAGAGTAAAGGTCAGGTTGAATACATAATAAAGAGGAACAGTCAAGACTACAAATATGGTGAAGTAATAACTAGTAAGAATGTTACTTCTCGGTAAGGTTTCAGTAAGAAAAGATTCAGTTTGTTACAACAAGGATAGGGTAATAAAAACAAAAATCCTCGGAGAATGGGCAAAGGTGTTAATATTATGATAAGACGTACTGGCCTGGTACTATCTTAGGGTACGGTGAAAGTTGGTTAGCTGAGTCTGTTCTTTCAGGGAAAAATAGTTTGTCTCCTTTTCCTGTGAATCTCTGTTTAAATATTACTGCACTAACTTTTTTGGCTTCAAATAGTATCTATGTTCTGCTTCCTTCTATGTCTTGCTTTTTCCCTTCATCTTAACTCTCATGAGACATTTTTCATTTAGTCCATCTGTTGTACAAACTAAAAATTGGAATCAGGCTCTTGAACTTTTTTTTTTTTTTTTTTTTTTTTCCTCGTCTGAAGACAAGTATTGCTTCCTGTGATCATTCTAAACCGCAAAGTATGTTCCTTTTAACTAGAATTTTCCATAAAAGATCTGGCAGGAATTAACCAGAGATCAGTTAGGGTTTTTTTTTGTTTGTTTGTTTTTTGTTTTCCCTTAGAGTAATTTATAGTTAATTAAATACCACTGAACTGTCCCTGGATACTAATTAAGTCCTTTCAGTTTACAGGTTTGCTACAGTCAATTGTCTTTAGAAGAGAAAAGGGGGAAAATGACAGTATGTGCATCTGCTGCATGACCTAATAGTTTTAATTGATCTAAAACAGCAAAGTATCTTCTTCAAAATATCAAAATTTCAAATGCATGTTGCAATCTGTTCTAAGAAAAATAGGGTAGATAAATTCTAAATAATTCTGTACATCCCGAAGTATTCCAAAGCAAAGTATACACGAATGGTTAGATGCTGGGACCTTTAAATTATACTGGCACTTGTACTGGCAACTAATGCTTTTTGCAGATCAAGTTGATGTAAACAGAGTTTTGAGATTTTTTCTTAATTAACATTTGTTTTGGTCTTGAGTGAATGAGTATAAACACCAAAAATCTGTTGCATCTATGAACAGAAGCCAAGCTAAAAGCCTGAAAAATGGCTTCAGAAATGAAAATGTTTTATGATGGTCTTCAATGTTGAATGCAGTGCTTTAAATCAAATGAAGGAAAAAGAAGCCATTTTTGTTGATAATTTTTAGAATAATGTATTAGTAGTGCTGATTTGTAAATAAAATTATTTCCTCCTTGGGACCAGCATAAAAATTCACATTATCTTATTTCTATATTTCCCACATCTTATTTCCTGATGTGCTATATCTTGCAGATGTTGTTTCCATACTATCAATTTCCAATTATTGCAAATTTATAATGAAATTGAATATCTTGCAGAAAATGGTGATGGAAAGTGGGTGACATTGCTAAAAAAGTAAGGAAAGAAGTTTCGAATGGGTTCAAAGTAAATCTTAGATCAGGAAGAAAATTTTTTTTCTAAGTATTATATGCTTAAGAAACTTCAAAGATAAAAAGCAAGGTTACATAGAGAGGTGGCCTGAAAAAGGTTGCTCATATCGTTGTTTTTATGTAAATGAGTTGAGTAACCCTTATTTATGTGAAAAGCTGTTCTTCTTTGTAAACACGTGTGCCTGTTCTTAGCAGAATGAGAAAGAAGAAAGAAAATGAGAATGCTGGACTGAAGACTGACATCTAATACTATGACAGTGCATTTTACCTAAATTTAGGAAACAAGACTTTAATCTTGGTGATATATAATAATAAACCTACAAAATGACATTGCAGGCATGCAGTAGAATGTATTTCAGGGTTGTAAATTTTACATACAAGGGTAAAGTTTGTACAAGAACAGATAATATGCAGAAATAGGGAGCACTGTCCACAGTGATCCATGTTAGGATAGGAGACATTTGCAGAGTCCAGCAGCGTAATTTCATTGGATCAAAATCCAAATAAATGACTGAAATATGAAAATTAAGTGGAGGATTTTTTTTCTTACTTCCTTACCTTAGAATCATGTAACAAAAGGCAAAGGTTTCATCTCAAAAAATATTTGTCATTACATGTCATTACTGCATTACATGCAGTTCTTAATATATTCTTAGAAAGGCTGCAAATTCTTAGAATGTATGCTGAGATATTTAACATTTAAAATACTGAATGCATGTGTGGGAGATTCTTCTGATATTTCTGATGGTGAAGAAATGCTTGGGAATGGAAAACGATATTTTGCTTTTGTGGAATTAATTTCTCATTAATAAATGAGAAAATATATTGAATTAAAGAAAGTGAATGTCATTAAAACTGGAATTTCTGCTGATTAAATTAATTGGAGTCTAAAGCAAAGAACATTCATTGACAGCTTCTTAAATAATATTGAAACTGAATAAAACAAACCAAAAGTTGACAAATGTCCTGAGTTTTCAAATCACTCAAGTGAGAGACTTATTAAACACTTTAAAAAGATGTAATTTTAGGTGTCTTAGTTATTTCAGTTTGAGAAGTCATGAATGATAGGTGGTGAAGTTCTATAGTCTGGAAAAGTTAGAAAAACTTAGATTTATTCCATGTTAGGCATTTATCCAAGCTTTGAAGTGCATTTGTCCTGGTTCCTTAGGTTCACCCTTCTGTTCCTAGTAATTACTTGGAACCTACTTAAAATTGGGTAGGATACGGTGAGATTTCTTTATTTGATAGGCCTGACCCATGGAATTCCATCCAGTGCTGCAGTGCTTACATTAATACACTTTAAAGGTATCAAGCTGATGAGTAATTTTCTATTTAACTTTATAAATATTAAATAACATAAAATTTCCTCCTTTGACTTACGTTTTAGGTAAGGAAATTGTAGTAGATTGGTTAAATACAGGTTTCAGAAAGTCACACTGTTTTAAGTTGCTTACTTCTATGCATATTAGAGAAATGGTATCCTCATGCATCCCTGCCACATGGATGCAAAGAAGAACAATAAAGATCTAAATGTTGTAGATTGGTTATGGTTTTACAGCAAAACTGAAAGGACATATTTACAAGGTACGCATTCTACTTTGAACATAAAAATTACACATGCAGGCATTAAGCTCACAAGTTGCAATACTTGAGAGAACAAAACTTGTGTTAATTTTTCTTAATAGTTTTGTGTCAAGAAAGATGAGAATTTATCAGATTAGAAGCTTATGAATATATTATGTGATAGAAAAGACTAAAAGGGATCAGGTTTAGTCCAGTAAATAGAAGGTCTTGCAAAGGAAAGACCATACAATAATAATCCTATACTGTTTTTCATGGCATAGTTATAGAGACATTGAAATTTTTATAAGAAATGATTTATCTAGAAACATTCAGGTTAGAATAAAATATTTCCTTGTAAAGCTGTGGAATCTTCATCTCCAGAGTTGCTTTTTTTTTTTTTTTTGTAAGTGGCTATGTTCTCTTACTTCCTTTGCTAGACAGAATAAAACAAAAATGACAAGTAACCATGAGCTCTTAAGTCACTGTCATGACCAGTTCCAACACTACTTCTTCCTCTGACTTGTGTAAAGCTGATGCTG